ATTCAAAGTGTGAATCATCTTTCCTTCTCCTCCCCTGCCTCTCCTTAAGCAAAGCTGTTGACTGGCTTGTCTCTTTAATTAGCTGGCCTTGGTCATCTGCAGTAGGATGATGATCCTTCTGCCTCCACTCAAACTACCTTCAGTGCATGCATTTCACTATCGGAGTGAGTTTCCTACTGTGACTGTGATCTGCTCGCTCGCCACTCACCTTTCTGCTCAAAACCTTCATTAGCGCCCACCACCTCTTCAATGAACCCCAGTTATTTAATATGATGATTAAGACTCCCCACCAATTAACTCCAACTGATTCCTCCAGTTCAGCTGCTTATATTTCCTAAAGAAATCACTCCAGACAAACCCGGAGACTATTTTTGAATCTGCTCTAAACTTTTCTACCCCAAACATGAACATTCGTTCATGCTTTTCCTTCTGTCTGGACTATTTCACTATTCCACTTTCTCCCGGCAAAATTCTATGTATATGTCAGTCAGGTCTAGGACAGTTAGAAGAAATCTCTTTCCCCTTTTAAGTCCTATAGCCCTTTGCATCCCTAATGATATTTATCTTTTCTCTCCCTCCAACAGTTTTATTATTATTTGAATCTATATATTACTTCCCTATTGTAACATAAGATGTCTAGGATGAGAACTCCATCTTCCTGTAGCAACTACACAGAACAGACAGTAAGTGTTGAATGAATTCATTGATAGGTCAAACACTCTTCCAGAAACGGAAGCATAGTTCCTTTGATTAGATTTTAATTTATCAAGCAATATTTCCATCCACTTTTTAACATATCCCATTGTAGACCTACACTTAAGATAAAGCAGATGCCTCACCCAGGTTTAGGTAAAGAATGATAACCAGTAACTGATGAAAGAAATAAATCACTGAGTTTATACACTGATGTGCAAATAGAGATGACAAAGTAAGATTGTAAGATTCTATCCAAAACTTTTGAAAGCTTTTAAGCATTTTACATTATGTAGTTTCTCCTGGATTGTCTATTTCCTTTACTACACTTCGGCTGGCTTATAGACCTCTAATTTTCTTACATAATTTCTTCATCAGATTCCAAGTGTTTGGTAATACATGTGTTTGCCTTTGTGCTATCAAGAGCAAACACTGCTCCAAAAATGATGTGGCTTCAGTTGTTTCAATTTCAACATCAGTTTGAAGCAATCCAAGAGCCAAGAACATTTCTTGGTCACATTAGTTTGCTTTCATATATTGTTTTAAAATCAGACTGATTTATTTCCTAAAACAAAAGGACATATTAAGACAAATTCCTTCTTACAAGTTTGGTAACAAGGTGCTAATTTTTAGGCAAAGTTTCTTCCTCCTATTTTTATCCATCTTTGTAAAATGCACTAAGGAGCAACGGCTTTCACAAGACAGTGACACAGGACTTATAAATGGTAATGACTAAAGCTGATAGGAGTTTTTCATAATCATGAAGCTGGTATTTTTAGGGTACATATAATTTTGATACTCTGGTACTGCTGCACAGGGTCCTGATTAAACTTGCTCTCTGGCAATCTGTGTTAGAACACCAGCAAATTCCAGAGCTCAAGAAAACATCATCCTCAACCAACAGCAATAAATGTCAAAAAAAGGGGGTGGGGAGGAGCTACAGAGGTGGTATATATGTAAGGCAACTATCATTTCTTAAGAATCTATGCTGTGTTCATTTTAATAGATGTGGAAAGGAAGAAGTTAATTAACTCGAACACTCATCTAGTAAATGGGTCACATGAAGTCAGCATCTGAATGCCATATTTCCACTATATAATAGCTCTTACAGATAATAAAGTATTACAAATACCTATTGATATTACATATTATCAATAAGCTCCAAGAAATAAGGAATTCTTTTTTTTCTTTCGGTCTGAGGCTTATATTTAGATGAGTCAGTGTGTGTGTGTGTGTGTGTGTGTGTGTGTATTGTAATATCTTATAATGCTTATTTGAACCAAAGACAACACACTGGATGAAAACAAACCTCTTCTGCTATACTGAGTCAGCACTCTGTGTGTGTGTGTGTGTGTGTGTGTGTGTGTAGTGGTAGCAGCCAGCTGTAGCTGCAATGTGGGAAGGAAGTGATTGGGCTGTTGAGGGAAAGAGGAAGACAGAAAAAGATGGAAAAAATGAAGCTTTAAGTGGCATTCTTAAGTGTATTCCTCTTATTAAGAAATTAATATATGGAAATGACAGATGGGCTGTCAGTTGTTTTTATGTAAAAAAACTACAGTGTTTAAGAATAATTATTAAATCCTTATAGAAGATTTACTTTAAGAAATCAAAACTGACACTCAGAATAGGCTCAAGCTAAGTGGAACAGGAAAATTTCTACTTAGGTCAACTATTCCCTTCAGTAACAATAGAAATCAACCTGCCTGCATTACTTAAGGCTAAAATAAAAAAAGTTAAGAAAACCAACATAATTATTTTCTCATTTATTAGACTTATCTATAGAAGAAGATTGTTGAAAAAAATCCCATGGGGATAGAAATTATATAGTTGGTTTTCCAAAGACACCTCTTTAGTTCTAATGGTGGATCTCACTTTTAATACTGTGTGCTGGCTTACGTCACTAAAATATATTTGACCAGCTTTGCTGGACCTCAGATGGCTAGAGGGTTCATTTATTCAGGTGCTAAAATCCTACAGGGTGGCAGGGAGGGAGTAGCAAGGAGAACACTGCTTTAGCAATGAGGCAGGGTTTCCAGGCCTCCACACCTGGAGATATACTACTCAGGCTGCCCTTCTTCACCCTCCTGGCAGCTTTGATTTTACTGACTGGCTCCAACATTCCTAATATAGAAAATAAGATTTAGAACATTCCCCAGGAAGACTGAGTAATGATCTCAAATAGGAAGACGAGTGTTTCTATTTCATGGTACATGAATACACAGTTCTATAGAAATTCATACGGAAGCTTTCTCTATTTTTTTCTTTACAGAAGTGAATTTCTTGTAACAACTGAGGGACTGAAATTTCTCCATAAAAAGTGGCTAAAAATAAACTCTTTGAGACAACTTACATAATTGTTCCCCAACTTTCTGGGACAGAGAAAAATCCACATTTTTGCCAGATGGAATCTCAGTGAGTGACGACTGCCAATAAATAAGCGCTCAAGCACATTTTCCTGGAATGGGACTCCGTGGGCATGACTTTCTCCATATGTCCCTTGGGAGTCCAGATAATAGTGTTTCTGTTCTTCTAAAATAAGTCATGTCCCACACAACAGCTGCTACCACACCTGAGATCAGCTGCCTTAAATTGTCCCAGTGAACTTTCACCCTGTTAAATGATATTTCCTGGCAGAGGAGAAACAGGTTTCAGCAGAGGTTCCTTAGAGAAATGTCAAAGTTGTTCAGTGTGATATGGTAACCGATGGTCTAATTCTGTAGCCATATATCATAAAATAAACCTCATACTTCCAAGACTTGAAACACTGAGCACAAGCACAGAATCTCTGAATGTCAACACACTGGCTGGTCATATTTATTTATTTACTTCAACACAAAGGATTGTGCCTTTCTTTGAAGCAACCAAATAAATAAATAAGTGAAAATATATTTAAAAACAAAGTAAGAGGAGGTAGTGATTATTTGTGTTACCAAGAATAGGTCACACTAAAAAAAAAAAAAGGATCACAATCACGGTGCCTTAAAGTGTCAACATCTCTACTGCATTTTAAATGATCTGATTTTTTAAAAGTGCTTTTAAATTCAATGTTTCAGAGAACCGGGCCCATTGCATTCATTGTGTATGTGCTATATCTTCTCTAACTAGTGCTACTCATGTATAGAACATTATTAGAATTCACAATGAAACCAAAAAACTTTTTTCCCCATTGAATTTTAGTGAGGAGATACATAAATTGAAAAAAAATTCAAATAAATTAGGAAATAAACTGGATGTATAATTACTAAATAAAGCTAATAAAACCAATGATTCCCTCCATAGGCAATGCAATTGATTCACTATTCAAAGAGATATAGAAAATGCCTTGAAAACCAAATTATAATTCCACAGTGATTTTCTAGAATATTACTTCAGGAAGAGAACTCTAAAACATAAATCAATCCAACTTTTAAAGTCTAGAAACAGCCTAGTAAGATACTTTAAAACAAATATGAGTACCTCTGGAAATAATATCATCCTAGATTTTAAATCACTCTATAAGAAACAGATAAATCGTATAGAATTTGGCCAAACCAAGTAATAACTGAATGTATTCTTTGTCATTGAGTGTAAATGAGATAATATTATTTCTTTCTTTCTTTTCTGTCCATTAGTCCATGACTGATGCCTGTTCTTCTTCATGTTCCCCGACCCCCCCCCATTTAAAGTTGTATTACTTAATCTCTGAATTATAGCGTTTTCTTCTTAATAGGTTTTGCTGAGTTTAGTCTTCTCTACCCTCAATCCAGATTGTACAGATTTGATATTCCTAAAACGCTGTTCTAAAAATGTCAGAAAGCTCTGAAAGTTTTTCATAGCTTACAAAGTAAAATCCAAATTCTATACATACCACCCTATTCCTCTGTTTTCACACTCCTGACCTTTCTCTCCTTCACTGGAACTGGGGGTCCAGGAAAGCTGAACTGTCCTCGCCTGCTGTCATGTCTGCTTTCCTGCAGTTTCTATTTGAGGCATTTCTCCTAGCCAGGAATCCCCTCCTGGCCACATACCCACTGAACCAAAGCTCAGCCTGCTGCCCCTTCTCATATGCTGCCCCATCTTGTTCCTCCATTCAGGGGATTTTATCTTGAATGAGTGAAGCCATAATTGCCAAGTCCAAAAGAAGTTCTCACTCTACACAATTTCTCTAAAATATGACAATTACTACTTTCTCCTTGAAACATTTGTCATCCTTGATTTAAAAGACAACAAAAACATTTTTCTTATTACAAATTATATAGTATATGTTCACATACAAATTTACAAAATATAGACAAGAAAGTAAAAGTCAAATATAATCCATCGCTTACCTAACTAGTGTTCCATGTGTTTGTATATGTTCCACTTCTCCTCTTTATATATAATATATAACATATACAATTATATACAAAGATGGGACAATGTGAAGGTACTTAATGTTATTAAAAATGGCAGATATGGTAAATTTTATATATATTTTACAATAAAAAATATTGGATAATGTACTACATACTATTTTATAGCACATTTTATATAATAATCAGTAATATATTTCTAATCCTCAAAAATATTTTCTATGCTTGTCTTATCAGATTTTTATCCATGGTAATGATATTTTTAATCATTTGGTTCAAGTAGTGACTAACAGATTTCTCCACTGTAAAAGGAGAAACATTATCTTTGAGATGATCATTGGAGACCGTGAAAGTTTAGACTCCAGATATATTGTGAGCATCTACTTTGAAGGCAGAGATAACAGGACTTGCTGATGGATTGGTTGAGAAAGGGTAGAGGAATCTCAGATTTTTGGCTTGAGTAACTGGGTAAATAGTGGCACAATTTATTGAGATGTGGAAAAACTTGGGTAGAAATGGGACTGCCTTTTTTTTAATATGGAAGTGTGAACTGGGAGGCCTGTTTTATATCTACTAAGTGTGAGATATTTATTAAATATTTGAGTGGACTTATCAGGAAGCCAATAGGTAGGACTAGCCTCATGGGTACATGAAATATGCAGTCTCCTGGGGCCCCATACTGGGTTTAATGCTCTGGTGTTGCTGTCTTCAAATTTTTGATAATTTTTAACAAGGGGCTCTGCCTTTTCACTTTAGGTGGGGGGGCACCCCAAAATTTAGTAGGTGGTAGCACCAGTTGGATATATCAATTGGGAGTATGATGGAGAGGCTGGAGGAAAACTAACCTTTGCAAGGTCTGGAAACAGTCTGCAAAAGAAGACAGATTTTGCAAATGAGACTGAAAAAGCATATCCAAGAAGACTAGAGGGAAAAGAGGAGAGTGTGGTATTGCAGAAGCAATGTGAAGAAAGTTCTTTGTAAGGGAATAATGAGTTGGGTCAAATGTGGCTGAGCTAGAGTAAGGTGAGAAGAGTAGACTGATCTCTGGATTTGGCAAGATGAAGACTGCTGGTGTCCTTCTAGGAACACTTTCAGTGTTGTGTGGGTTGAGGAACAGGAGGAATGGATATTAAGAAAGCAAATATGTATACTCCTTTATCAGAGATTTGCTCCAAAGGAGAAGAGAGATGCTGTTTCTGGGCAAGTGTTAAAAAAGTGTTGTGAGTGATTACAACATGTTTTTATCCAATGGAAAAAATCTAGAAGAAGGAAATTGATGTCAGAGAAGGGAGGTGATTATTTGAATATAGTCCTTAGGTCAATGAAAGGGAATGGGATTCGGAGTACAAGCACAAGGGCTGATCCCAGAGAGGTGCAAGTTTAGTTCATCCACTGTAATAGGAGAGAAGGCAGAGTATAAGGGTATAGATATGAATACCTTTGTAGATTTGGGAGGTAGAAGGGTAACATCAGTCTTTCGTGATTGTTGTGTGAAATAAGACAAAACCTTTGGATTGTGCCATAATATTTTATAGATCTAAGCCATGTCCATTTCTCTATTGAACTGAGGTTCATGTTTTCAGAAAACAAAGGCACTGGTGAAAGAAGAGAAGAGCTAGGATGCTAACTTAATTTTATTTTTGTTTTTCTAAAATCTGGCTCAGATTTTTGATAAGGGGACCAAAAAGACAGTTCCAGGGGAAAAGAATAGCCTTCTTAGCAAATGGTGCTGGGACAACTGGATATCCACATGCAAAAGAATGAAGTTGGACTGATGCCTCACACCACATATAAAAATTAACTCAAAATGTACCATATACTTAATTGTAAGAGCAGAAATATAAAACTCTGAGAAAAAAACATAAACATAAATCTTTGTGACTTTGGATTAAGCAATGGTTTCTTAGATTAGACATCAAAATCATAAACTAGAGAAAAAATAGATTACTTGAACTTGATCAAAATTAAAAACTTCTGTGCTTCACGGAACATTATCAAAAAAGTGGAAAGACAACCCTCAGAATATGAGAAAATATCTGAAAAATTGCGTATTTGACAACAGACAGTATCCAGGATCTATAACTAACTCTCCCAACCAGTAAAAAGACAACCCAATTTTAAAAATGGGCTATTTGAATTGCCATTTCTCCAAAGAAGATATACAAATGGCAAATAAACATATGAAAAGGTGTTCCTCATTATTCCTTAGGGAAATGCAAACCAAAACCACAATATGACACCATCTTACACTCAGCGGAATGGTTGTAATAAAATAGACACTAACAAGTGGTAACAGAGATGTGGAGAAACTGGAAATACCATACACTGTCAGTTGGAATGCAAAATGAAGCAGCCACTTTGAGAAGTAGTTTATGGGTTCCTGAAAAAGTTAAACACAGGTTACTATATGAACCAGCAATGCCACCCAGCCATGTACATAAGAGAACTGAAAACACGTATTCATAGAAAGACTTGTACACAAATGTTCATACTAGCATTATTCATAATAGTCCCAAAGTCCAAGCAACCCAAATGTCCCTCAACTGATGAATAAATAAAATGTGGTGTCTGTATTCAACAGAATTTTTTTCAGCCTCGAAAAGTCATGAAATACTGACACGTAATATGGATGAACCTTCAAAGAATGTCCTAAGTGAAAGAAGGAGAGGCAAAGGACACATATTGTATGACTGCATTTATATGCAGTGGCCAAGAGTTGGAGCTTCATAGAGATGAGAGGCCACTGACCGTTCATGAAAAGGAACAAGGGCACTCCAGATAAAAGGAATGAAGTTAGGAAAGATGCAGAGGTGTGAAACTACTATGGCATCCTTGAAATAATGTGGTTGCAATGCAGCCTGAGCATAGGATAAAGAACTGTGGTAGAGTAAGTAAGGAAGTAGATTGACCCAGATTTTTAAAGAACCTGAATTCATTGGAATTTATTCAATGAGAAGTCCTCTTGGCTTTTATAGCACCTCTCTTATGCCACTTCTCAACCTCTTACATTATTTTTGTTAACTGTGGATGAATTAGCCTTACTTAATAGACTGGGAGACCCCTAAAGATTAGAGAGCATGCCTTAGTCCTCTCTGGTTTTGCAGGGCCCATTGCAAAATGTGCGATACAGAGAATGTGCCCACCAGGAGCTTGTTGACTTTGAATTACTAAAATAAATTTAGTTAAGGCCACAGCAGTCCACATATACTTTGGTGATTTACAGGCTACCAAAAATTATCTGCATGTATGAAAATAAATTTCCTTACTGTTAATACCATCTCTTTCATCAACCACTCATACTACAAACAAACTACATTTTGGTTAATTGAACATAATAAAAAATAAACAAAACAAAAAACCAAAAAATAAACCTTACCAAGAACACAGTTAACAAATTTGTAGGTTTTATGTATTATATACTGTATTCTTATAATAAAGTAAGCTAAAGAAAATGTTAAGAAAATCATAAGACAAGATGTAAAAAAAAGGAACTTTGAAAAAAACCTTTTTTAAAATGAAGTTTGGATCTCAGTGAAATGTCAAAATTTGAACAGTCAGAGCAATTGTACTAGAGTGGCAGTTTTGGTGAATGGGTAGAGAATTATTTGTTCTTTAATAATCAAAATACTTAGAGAAATAACAGAAGCTTTCATTTTAAACCACAAGAATAAAAGGAGATCATAGTTAAACAATGGAAAATATTTTTAATAGATATTCAGCTTATATGAAAAAGTTCATCTGAGAAAACCTTGGAATATTTATTGTGGGAGCCGGCGGTGGTTAAGAACGGATTAGAAAACTATCTGTAAAGATAGAGATGTTTTTCTAACCCACTCTGGGACCTTGGAGCCTTTTACAAACCTACTTTTCTATAAACCTTCATTAGTAAGGCCAAAGAGTGGGAATGCTCTGTCAGGGCAGTATGTGGGGAAGTTTACCACTGTGTTTTTCACAAGGCGGTTTCAAACTCCCCTTTCCCTACATGTGAGCTACTCCAGTAAAGCCTACAAGGTCAGCAAAACAGTTATAATATTTGGTAATTTTTCAAACAGTATGGTTAGGAATATTGTAGCTAAGAATTCTAATTTCATTTGATGTTCACTAGTCAGTTCAAGATTCTGAACTTGGCCCCCTGTATAGAGCGTGAGACACTACAGGAAACACACGTGTTCAGGAAACAACTGGAGTGCCCTTTATGAAGTAAAAACATGTGATGGTTATGACTGCTTTTTTGTGGCTGGCTGGACTTTAGAAATAAAGAAAGTCATATTTAATTTCAGGACTTAATAGATCAGGATGCTTGAAGGACAATGAGTATGGTTAAAACTGTTGAATATCGATTCATTATTAGTATCATTTAAGGCCTGAATCTTATAACTTATACTACTGTTATATGAGACTAAAAGATGAAGTGTTGTTTGGCAAACATCACGAGGAACGCACTTTCTGCTACAGGGGCAGAGAGTTGCAGAGACTGGTTATAAGCGTCATAAAACAATGGATTTCTCCTGTATAAATAAGCAATATGTTACTGATAACAGGGACAATATCAGGGTCAGAGTCCTGGTGGAGAGATGGCCCAGAGATTAAGCGGGGAAGATAAGAAAGCAGAGTTTTGACTTGTGTGGTATCTCTAAGGGAGGCAGTACAAGGTTCCCTGGCATGAGGTGAGTACTTTCCAAAGACCCAAAGAGAGAAAACTCACACATAAAATTCTACTCTTTCAGAATCAGACCTCAACCTCTGAAAGGTGTAGGTCAGCTAGATGAAGAGAATGGAACTTAAACTCAAACTGAGCTCATATAATAATAATAACAACACAACAACAGGAGCTAAGGCAGCAGCAGCAAAATAGGTGCCTGTTAGGTAAGTCCTGCTGTGGATGCAAAAACTACCCAGAAGACACACTCCCTCTCCACCAGGAAGTCATAATCAGGTTGAGGAAGAAAGTAAAAAACACATGAAAGGGTAAAGAAATTCAAGATATAGGACAGGCAGGAAGTAACTGTAAAATAATC